CACAAGCTAGACCTGAGGTCGCCGGGCCGCGGGGCCCCGACAGCGGCGTCTCATAAAAGAAATACAGAGGGCTTGTGGCCGTCGAGGTCGCGGGGAAGACCGGGGAAGGCTCGTTCCACTGTATGGCTTACATAAAAAAATGCTCCTGTAGGGTTTGAAGTGAGGGAAGGAGAGGTGAGGGGAGGGGAGGGGAGAGACAGAGAAAGAGGTCTTTCATTTGCTGGTTCACTCCCCAGATGGCCGCAACTGCTGGAGCTGGGCCAATCCGAAGCCAGGACCCAGGAACTTCTTCCAGATCTCCCACGTGGATGCAGGGGCCCAAACACCTGGACAATCTTCAGCTGCTTTCTCCAGGACATTAGCAGGGAGCTGGATAGGAAGTGCACAGCCAGGACTCAAATCAGTGCCCATATGGGATGGCGGCACTGCAGGCAAAGGCTTAACCTACTATGCCACACGCCAACCCTAGGAATTTGATTTTTTAATTCAAGAGGCAGAGAGACAGACAGGCACATAGAGAGAGCTTCCATGTGCTGGTTCACTCTCCAGATGTCCTCAATGGCTGAGACTGGGTCCAAGGGTGAAACTGAGAGCAGGAATCCAGCCCAGGTCCTGCATGTGGGTGGCAGGGACCAATTACTTGAACTGTCACTGCTGCCTATCAGGGTCTGCATTGGCAGGAAGCTAGAATTTGGAGCCAGAGCAAGGAATCAAATCCAGGCACTCCAGTGTGGAATGTGGGCATCCTGGCTGGCATCTTAACCATGAGGCCAAATGCCTGTCCCTGGACAGAGATCTTAGGGGACAGGGGCTTACTGTTTATTTTTGTATTCTCTGGACACATGTTGGGCCTGGTATTTTGAGAGTACTCTATAAATGTTTGTTAAATAGTTTTTTTAAATAAAGATATATTTATTTGAAGGGCAGAGGGAAAGACACACACACACACACACACACACACATCCAGATCTTCCATCTGCTGGTTTACTTTTCAAATGGTCCCTAACAGCCTGGTCTGGGCCGGGCCAAAGCCAGGAGCCAGGAGCTTCATCCAGGTCTCCCACGTTGATGGTAAGAACCTAAGCTATTGGGACATCATCCACTGCTTTCCTAAACACATTAGCAGGGAGGGAGCTGGTTTGGAAGTGGAGCAGCCAAGACTTGAACTGGTGTCCATATGAGATGCTGGCATTGAAGGTGGTGACTTATCCTGCTATGCCCCAACATAGGCACATAATTGAATAATTTTATAACCCCTTAATGACTTGATAACATTAGAAAGTGTGTAGAGGCTGGTGCTGTGGCACACTAGGTTAATCTTCCGCCTGTGGTGCTGGCATCCAATATGGGCGCCGGTTCAAGTCCTGACTGCTCCACTTCTGATCCAGCTCTCTGCTATGGCCTGAGAAAGCAGTAGAAGATGGCCCAAGTGCTTGGGCCCCTGCACCCACATGGGAGATCTGGAAGAAGTTCCTGGGTCCTGGCTTCAGATTGGCCCAGCTCCAGCTGTTGCGGCCATTTGGGGAGTGAACCAATGGGTGGAAGACCTTTTTCTCTGTCTTTCCCTCTCACTGTCTGTAACTCTACATCTCAAATAAATAAAATCTTTTACAAAAAGGAAAGTATGTAATGGGAACAGGCATTTAGGCTGGTGGTTAAGATGTGTACATCCCGCATCAGAGTACCTGGGTTTGAATCCTAGCTTTAACTCCTGACATCAACTTCCTGCTAATGCACCTGGGAAGGCAGTGGATGGTGGACCAAGTACTTGGGTCCCTGCCACCCATGTAGGAAACCGGGATGGAGTTCCACGCTCCTGGTGCTACAGACCCCCTCCCGCTTGCCATCAAAGGGCCAGCTAGGTCTTGACAGGCTGTTGCTGATTGCAGAAATCCTTTTCGCCTGCCACATGTAAGATAAGACAGTGTGTGCCTTCTAAAGTTACCTTGAAGTTGTGATTTACTGGTTCCTGTAAACTGTCTTACCCTACAGGTGTGACTTGTTAGTTCCTGAGTACCTACGATAACAGTGCTCCCCCTTCTGAAACTGCCTTGCTAATTTAGGATATAAAAGTAGAGAAAGACGAAGTCCTCATGGGCAAATAAACTGTGCACCTTTCCTCCCAAGAGTCTCGAGTGCCACTTAGTTCCTTCCGTCTGCTGTCCAGAACACTGGCTTCAGCCTGACCTAGACCTGACTGCTGAGGCCACTTGGGACGTGAACCAGTGATGGAAGATTGCTCTCTCCCCACCCGCATCAGTCTGCCTTTGAATAAATAAAGCTTAAAAGTGGAAAGAAAGAAGGGAGGGGAGGGGAGGGGAGGGGGACAGGGGAGGGGAGGAGAAGGGAGGGGAGAGGAGGGGAGGAGAGGGGAGGGG